CAGCCCCGCACCCCGCGGAACAGCCCCGCACCCCGCGGAGCAGCCCCGCACCCCGAGGAACAGCCCCGCACCCCGCGGAGCAGCCCCGCACCCCGCGGAGCAGCCCCGCACCCCGCGGAGCAGCCCCGCACCCCGAGGAACAGCCCCGCACCCCGCGGAGCAGCCCCGCACCCTGCAGAGCAGCCCCGCACCCCGCGGAACAGCCCCGGCAGAACCCTCCGGCCGCGGGCACTGCCAGGGCTGCGCTCCCGTGCCCAGGGCAGGAGGGGCAGCGGGAGATGCTCCGCTCTGGAGGGGACAGGGATCTGCCCCAGGGATCTGCCCCAGGGATCTTCCTCAGGGATCTGCCCAGGGATCCGTCCCAGGGATCTGTCCAGGGATCTGCCCCAGGGATCTGTCCAGGGATCTGCCCCAGGGATCTGCCCAGGGATCCGTCCCAGGGATCTGTCCAGGGATCTGCCCCAGGGATCTGCCCCAGGGATCCATCTCAGGGATCCACCCCAGGGGCTGCCCCAGGGATCTGCCCCAGGATCTACCCCAGGGATCTGCCCCAGGGTCTGCCCCAGGGATCTGCCCCAGAGATCTGCCCCAGGATCTACCCCAGGGATCTACCCCAGGGATCTGCCCCAGGGATCTGCCCCAGGGTCTGCCCCAGGGATCTGTCCCAGGGATCTGCCCCAGGGATCTGCCCCAGGGGCTGTCCCAGGGATCTGCCCCAGGGATCTGCCCCACGGATCTGCCCCAGGGATCTGTCCCAGGGATCTGCCCCAGGGATCTGTCCCAGGATCTGCCCAGGGATCCGCCCCAGGGGCCGCCCCAGGGATCTGCCCCAGGATCTACCCCAGGGATCTGCCCCAGGGATCTGCCCCAGGGATCTGTCCCAGGGATCTGCCTCGGGCATCTGTCCCAGGGATCTGTCCCAGGGATCTGCCCCATGGGCTGCCCCAGGGATCTGTCCCAGGGATCTGCCCCAGGGGCTGTCCCAGGGATCTGTCCCAGGGGCTGTCCCAGGGATCTGTCCCAGGATCTGTCCAGGGATCCGCCCCAGGGGCCGCCCCTCCTCCTGCAGCCCGCGCTCTCTCCTCGGCCCCAAATCCCTCTCTCCGCTCTCTGGGAAAGGCTCTGCCCGCAGCGGGCAGGTCCGGTCATGCTCAGGTGAGGCTCAGGTGAGGCTCAGGTGAGGCTCAGGTGAGGCTCAGGTGAGGCATCCTCGGCACGTAGAGATGGGCAGTGCACAGCAGCAGGGCCCGGCCGGGGCTGGGGCGGGAATCTGATCCTTGGGAGCATCCCCAAAAATCCCTGAGAGCCAGAGCCGAGCTCCAGGGTCCCTTCCCGGGACACCGAGTCACCCGGGGCCGCCGGCAGAGCTGGGTGCCTGCGCTGCGTGGCCAAGTGTGAAACCGTAGTAGCACTGCAGCTATTCCGGGAGCTGCTGCGAAACCTGCTGCGAAACCTGCTGCGAAACCGCTCCTGAAGCTGCTCCCGGAGCAGCCCAGCCTGGCACAGACACGGCTCTGGCCCCGCATGGCTCCGTGTGGCACCTTCATCCTGCAGGGCTCAGGGAAAGCTCAGCCCCCGCAGGAAATCTGGAAGGGATTTTTCCTGGCCCCCCCTGACCACTGCCTGGCGTCTTTATAAATATCCCTCTCTCCTGGGAGGCCCCAAATCCACCCCCTGCCTGATTTATTCGGTGTTCCACGCTGGCCAGCTGCCCTTGGGGGGGTTTTTCCAGGAGCTGCAGAGCAGCAGGGAAGGAGCAAGGCAGGAGCCCCGAGCAGGGTTTCCATTCGGGATTAGTTAAAAATAGCAGGGAATGCACAAAGATCCGGCACGTGGCTCATCCACCGAGGCTTTCCTTGCCGCAAGCCGGGCTTTTGTGCCGCT